CTCTCTTCTTCGAAGAGAAGAGGCAGTTGAATTACGACAAAAGCTTTTCGACGTCGTCCTTACGAAAGCTCCTTTTAATTAATCTCGGCCCTCCCCCTCGAGAACACAAGTACTATCATCCTTGACTCTCTCTCTCTCTCTCTATCTCTCTCTCTCTCACTCTCTCTCTCTCTCACTCTTCTTCTTCTTCTTCTTTTTCTTTTTCCTCTGTTGTGTTTCAACATCGTCGCCTTACTAGTTTTACTCTTATTCTTATTCTCATTCTAATTATTATTTTTATTCTTTTTTTTTCTTTTTTTTTCTTCGTAGTAATACGAAGAAAAAATATTTAAGAATGTACTATTTTTATTTATTATTATTGATGCAACCCATTTATTATTAGTTATTATTAAAGATAACAGGCGAAAAGACTATAAAATGAGAAACTTTCAAGCGAAGGGTCTCCTTATCGAGTCACACCAAAAGATAATGCGGGTAATTCATTGATCGAAGAAAAACGATAAGTAGTTGGTAGTTTTTGATAGTTATCTTCTTTGTTACACTATCCAGGAGAAAAATTAATTCAATAAGATAATAACAGGCGTAGAGGGATTTTTTTCCATATCGTACATCTTCATGAGATATTCCACGAGATTTCGTTACTTCTCTAAAAGTAAACTCAATTTAACGAAATGTTTAGAAAAATTGATCTTCCTCTTTCTTCTCGTGTTTTACGCAACACGAAAATTTTATATTTCCAAAAAAGAAAAAAAAGAAAAAAAAAGAAAAGAAAAGAAAAGAAAAGAAAAAATAAAGTTGATGAGAATCGTAAATAAATCGTTAATATCGAAGAATCAATTTCCAACAAATCGTTAACGAGCTACGAGATAGAGAGAACGTAACTTTCGGGTTGTATATACTCACGAAACGAGCTGCTGTAATCGTTGGAAGCGCCGTGAGACCGGTAACGAGCCACTCCTAGATTCGATATATCTCTATAAGATGTGCCACGTGTGAAGTTATCGCCTCGTGGCACGCCACCTTTCCATTTCCGTTTTCGCTGCTTCTCGTCTCCTATCTATCGATTTATTGTTTCGTCTCGAGAGTAGGTGTCGAATTCGATCGATGACATCTAAATCGTCAAACATTTCTTTCTTTTATTTTATGCTAAATGTATCACGAAACTATATAAATAAAACATGGCAAAAGAGAGAAAAAAAGGAAAAAACGAAAAAAAAAAAAAATAAAAACGGATACATATAATAAAGAAAGAAAGAGAGAGAGAGAGAGAGAGAGAGAGAGAGAGAGAGAGAGAAGAGAATGTGCGCTGATTTCCAATTCACGCCAGCAATCTCGGCTTTTAAAAGCAACGCAACTAAACGCGAGGGGTTTGGTGTCTGCATATCGGTATTCACCGAGCAAAAGGCAAACCTTGCATTTTGCAATTCGCGAAGAGGGGTGCTCTACTACCCTTACTCGAAGCAAGAGAGGGTTATAGACACGTACACCACTAGCCCTGCCGAGTTTCGTTGTTCCCTGCCAACGTTGCCACGGCAAAGGAATATATTTGAGGGTCTGTCCTCCTCTTCCTCCTCCATTACGCATACGATCATTCTCTCTCTCTCTCTCTCTCCCCTCTCGTCACGTCATTAGGGTCGCGAGTTTGAAACGAAAAGCGACGCAATTGGAAACTGGAATATCCTGGCCAGCTCGTTCGATCGAAAACATCACTCTTCTTTTTGCAAAGGGACCAGTAATCCTCGAGAGCTACTACCAATGTTGCTGAATTTTCAAATCATCCTAATAATGCCAGTTAAATTGATCTCACGTATCATGCGACTCCTAGATACAATTTTTTCTATTATGGAAAGTCAAGATAATTAACACATTGAATAACGCGTTAATATTACATGAGTAGAACAGCGCCAACGTGAATCTGCTATTATGCGATACATATTATTTTTAAATATTATCTATTACAGATAAATTGAGGTTTATAATCAAATTTAATGAATTTATCTTACTGGAGGTCTTCACACCATCGTAATAACAACGATAGTTGTTAAAAAAAGTTTACAAATGTTGACATTTACTCTAATGTTTTTCTACTAATTTTGATGTCGCCGGTTACTGGAGACCGCCCTCCCGCCCCTCTATTGTGCTACAGGCAAATTCAATGCTGTCACTGATGACTTCCCATGGCATTCAACGTGTTAATAGTTAATTTACTTTAAATTCATTTGTCTATAAAGTAAGAAGTAACTGTCAAATTAATTGCTCCGTATGTTACTCTTTAGAAAGAATTAAAACAAACAAAAGTTTATTCATTATTCTCTATGTTTTGGATTTACATTATTTTCTTAAATTTTGTATAATGCATTGTGAGATAAGTTTTAGAAATGATTACACAGATGCAATCCAGACCAGACATAAATTAATAAATTAATAAATTAACAATAGTACTAAAACTTTGATATAAAATGTTAACCGTGGATGTATTATGTACGTTCATGCTACGAGGCAAGCTGACTAAAATACGACACGTAAATATACGTTTGTATTTGCTCAAAGGGTTAAAGAATATTTCTTGCCTCTCGCCCGTGGTATCGTGAGAGTACCCTTTATTTTCATTCGTTCGTAGTACAAAGAACTAGCGGCTTTTCCCGCGTCAGAAGGGTACACAGGATTGGTCGAAAAGAACAAGGACTCACAACGGTGGTTGTTCGGTTTTACAAACTGTACGATATTCTCGTTTATACACTGTAAGGGTCGTCTCTCTTTCTCTCCCCCCCTCTCTGGCTTTCCTTTTTCTCTTTGTCTTTCTCCTCTTCGTTTTTCGTCGTTCTTTCCGCATTCGAAGTTCTTATTGAACTACCTAGTGCGGTCTTGTGTTAGAAAAGCTACCATATCTAAAGCTCTTTTTGAAAAGAGACTTTACGAATTTACGATCATTCTTTGATGCGAAGTGTAATAAGAAAAAATCCTTGGATCTTTTCTTTCACTTTTTATTTTTCTTACAACGTTCATCGATAATGCCGTACACGTTTTTTTTTTTGTAAAACAAGGATATCAAGCGAAAAAATAAAAAGGAAATAAAAGATAGATAAGTAGAGAAAGGGAAGGAGGAAGGAGAAATGAATTTAACAGTTTAGTATTATCTCAACGAGCTGACGGCAATTTAACTATCGAAGTACACACATCGAAGCCATCTCAAAACTAAATTAACCCTTTCGGCATAACACGCTCTCTTTCTTTTTTTTACACGCCAGAGAACAGTAGTGTCAAGTCCTTTCGATTAAAATATAATAGGATAGAGAGAGAGAGAGAGAGAGAGAGAGAGAGAGAGAGAGAGAGAGAGAGAGAACAAGGTCGATTATGGTTGCTCGTTCGGAAAGCCGCAGGCACTTAGCCGAGTTCTTAGGGGAGCCGACTATTTTACTAGTCATCCTTCACTTTGCACTCGCTAACACACGCATATATACATCCATACATAAATACACATACACCTACCATACATATATATATACCCCCCAAAATAAAGAACCCATGTCAAGGTTAAGGTCAAGGTCGACCGACGTCCTACAATCTCCTCTCGTTTCATTTCTTTTTCATCTTAATCTCAATGGCTAAGGGTAAATATGAAAAACTTTTCCACATAGTTAAAAGATTATTCTCCAACTTTCCCATACATTTTTGTTTGTACAATTTAAACGAATAGAACGCAGAAACGGCAGAATGAAGAGTATACCAATTCGTCTTTCGTTTATCGATTAGGTCTAAAACGTAATACGTACGTTGTCATATTACACAGCCAGATTCGAACCCTTTTTCGGGTCCTCCATCCAACGCACGAATAATTCGATGACTTTTCTTGTGTGTGTGAGTGTGCGCCATAGCAAAAGTATTTGTTTCTCCCCTCTTCTCGTGCTTGCTTTCTCATCCTTTTTCGCAGATATTTATATTCACGTATGTACTATAATAAGTATGTACTATAATAAGTATGTACTATAATAAGTATGTACTATAATAAGAATATACTATAATAAGTATGTACTATATTAATTATTACTTACACCATTTTATTCGCACGAATAGATATAGACATAAAATAACGTTAATAATCCTGATTTCTTTTTTTGCGAATCGATCGATCCTATTGATAAAGAATCAGACAACTTGACAAGAATATATGTAAAACAAAACGGAATGTAATAAAAAAAATTATACAACCCTCCAGGAAGTGACGGCGCGTGCGTAGGAGCAAAACGCGTACGTGCAGAAAATGCGAGAGTAAGTGCACGGTAAAGCCAACAAGGGGTTTGGTATTGATTTTCCCTCGTATTTGGGGTAGGACGACAGTGTTACGACGCAACGCGCGAAAGGATTCGCTCGGAAGGGCGTGAGCGTGCGCGCACGGATAGTACCGCTTTGCTTGTTTGCGAAAAAGAAAAAAAATGATCGGGTTCGCGTGAGATTAATCAGCAATGATAAAAAGGGAACCCTCATACGGGTTGGTACTCGCATGATTTACTTTGATTCGACGTTGGAAATTAGAAAAGCTAAACTGAAAACTCGCCCTTTCTTTTAATTCGTTAATTATGTTTATGCGATTTCGTTCGATCATAGAAACTTCAGCCTTTATTATAAATAAAAAATCAGAGAGAAATGAAACGAATAAAAATTTTAATACGAAAAAAAATTTTTAAATTATAATTTCTACATTCTTTCGATGATTATTATCACATTATTAAAAATCGGTGATTGACACTTCATTTTCAAAGGCTTTATTTTTAAAATTTGTAAGATTTCTTTTGTTATTTTAAAAATCTTTAAAAGTACATTCCCTAATAAGTATAATATAAAAGTCTAAAGTAAAAAATTTATCTATAAAAGGTTATGAAAGATATTAAACGAACACATAGATTTTTCTATTAAATCAATTCGACGTTCAATGTATTAATTCTAATGAAAAAGGAATGAGAGTAAACTTCATTTACATTAAACTTCTTCAAATTTCTTAC